CCCTCCCCCCCCCCCCCCCCCACTTGCTGTTCAGTTTCCAGCTTCTGCAACAAAAGAGGCAGCAGGGGTCCTGTAAACAATGGTTTCTTTCTCTCAACCCGAGGACAGGTCCAGACCATGGCCTGAATGGGGCAGGCATCCTGCAGAAAAAGTACTGTGTAGTCAAAGACTGTATGAAAATACATATGAACAGGAGAATTGAATTAAGATTACATGGGTAATGGGCATTTCCTAGTCTGGAATGCCTCGCATTACTCCCACAATGTTTCTCTGACAGTTTTGTACGTGTGCATATTTTACTAGCTTTAAAGAAATAAAACCAAAACAAAAAACCTATCTAATGTTATGTTAATGATAAACAAGTAGTTTATTGCCTTGCTGGAACCTGTAAATGCAGCTCACAGACTTCTGCTTCTTGAGCTGATGGAGTAACACTAGCAGTTATAGGTTGTTTTCTGCTTTGTGTCCTGACACTATGAGGCTGAGAAGTGTGCTTTGCCAGTTGGTTTCACAGATATTTGTTCTTATAAGAGTGAATGGTGAGATTAGGAGTCTTGAGCTCCTTTCCATGCTCTAAATTGAGGTGAGCTCTGTTGGATTTTACATTTTTCTGCCTTGCCTCTTCCAGCCTGCCTCAGTCTCCTCTCGCTTCACTGCTCTTACCCTGCTGCAGCTCGGTTCTTCTTCCCTTGCTGGTCTCAGTTTCTGCTCCTTTGGCTTTTCCTCTCGGTCCCACTCCAGTTGACCTACAAGACCCAGTTCTTCCTCTGCACTCCAGTTCATGTTTCAACTTTAGTGCCTTCTCTTTGAACTCAGCTTTTTGCAGGTGTTCCCCTACTTTCCAGGCTGTTAGTAATTTTGAGCCCATGTCTGTCCCATCGTCTCTTCCACCCACGTCAGTACCAGTCATACCAGCCTGTTTTGTCCCAGCCTACTCTTTTTTTTTTTTTTTTCCGCTCTTCTCTGGTTTGGCATTTGTCTCCTTTGCATTAAAATCAGACAAATTATGCTGTCTGATGCCAGCAACAGAGTTACTGAGAGCAAAGGAGAGACAGGCTCTCTGCTCTTAGTTCCACTGTCAGGCCTGGAACATCTTGGAGGAGTCAGTCTTTCTAGGGAAAGACTGCCTTCACCTCTCTAGCTGCGAAGGCCTGGAGAAAGGATGATGAGTTATTTTTTTGGGAATGCCTTTTGCAGTCTGATCAGCAATGGCAACTTGGGGGAGATGAGAAGTGGCAAGGGATGGACTCTCAGGAAGTTTTAGCTGCTAAAATTTAATATTGTATTATTTGATTCCAAGACAAGGTTTTCTGCCCCCAGTTGTCATGGCGGTGGGGGGGAAGCCCCATATCTTATAATTATGTACAAGGAAATCTCACTAAATACACTGTCTATCGTTAAACTGCTGCCAAAAGCAACATGTGCTCAGCAATGGAAACCAAATATGAAGTGAATTAAATGTTGCCAACACTGAGCATGATTATAAAACACATGGCACATTGGGCAAATGTGTTGATGGAACCTTTTATTGTTGTTTTGGGGTGGGGTTTTTTTGTTTGTTTGTTTGTTTGTTTTTGGCAGGCAACCTGTGTGCAAGCCCCAAGCCTGGAGGCCTTGGGGTTCAGATGACCTCTAGTCTTGCTTGCTCCTAGCCAAAAGGCTGAGGAGCAAGCCATGGAGGAAGCAGGAACGCAGTCCCCCATTGCCACAAAATTGCACAGAGGGGTTTCCTGCATTCTGAATAGAGGAGAGCGAAACTCAAACTTAGCCATTGTGTGGCATTTCAGGTTATTGCTAGTATGTCAGTCCTGTTTAGTTTTTCTTCTTTGAGATGAACAGGTGCTTGGGTTTGTCATATTAAGTATAGCAGTAATGCCAGTATTCTACAGAAGTGGGGTGTTTTAAACTAAATTTACCTTCAGTGTGGATTATACTGGGACTGTGTCTCTTTGACTATCTGCTTATGATTTCATGGATCGTGTCTTCTGGCTCGTGTGATCACTTAACAATCCTGTGGCAAGCAGAGCAACTACTTACTGGCAATGCAATGTTAGGAAAACAGTTAGGTATTTTTAGATGGCTTTAATGCAGTTTAGCAATTGGAAACAAGGACAGGGAGTACTATATGAGCAGCCAACTCTCTGCAGATATTATTAGGAATTTCTCTGTTAACAGTACATTCTCCATCTCTGTTTGGTCCTCCCTCCATTTTTTCTTTTTTTCACAACCTTGCTTATGCATGAGTCTAAAAACTTCTTTTATCTTTATATTTGGTTATTAAAAATAGCTCTTATGTTGCAATTTTGCATTGACACAAGGCTTTTGATCTAGTTCAGCTGATATCCCATTAAGAACACATTTCTGAGTGTATCAACTTCTCATCCCAGAAGCTACTAGCTGCTGGTCATCTTTTTAAAAAGTCTAATGACTGTAATAGCCACAAATGTTCTGTGGCACTTTGGCTGCTGCTAGGAGGTGGTTTTAAAATTAATTGAATTAATTTTAGTGACATTCAGGTTTGAGTCACGGCATTGTATTGTTCATCAGCTGTGCTGTTTCTGACTTGTGATTCTTTTTAAAGAAAGCATTGTTCAGGATGCAAATTGCTGGTTTGATCTTTCTTGGTGGCTTTCAATGTAAAATGAGACCTCTTTATTCAGAGTGAACACTTTTCAGCAACATGCATTTTTAAATTTTAATGAGTGCACGGTACTATTGTCTAGTGCTTCTTACTGTTAGTGCTGACCCTACTCATCTAAAAGAAGGAATACAAGCTTGTTAAAGAGAGCTAAGCTATATCAAGTAGTATAGCTAACTCATGTAATTTAAGAACTTGATCCTGTTCCAAAGAAGCCAGTGGTGGAAACAATTTCTGCAGCAACAGACTACAGAGGATGATAACACTAGGCATTACTTACATGTATGGTACCATCAAAAGAGAGCTTCAGGTGACCTGAAGCAATATGAAAACATTGATCGGTGGGGGCAAAAATGACATCTGAAATTACCTACTGTTCTAAGTTTAGCAACTTTCTTAAATATTCATTGCTTGGTTAATAGCTTAAGAAGTATAATTAATGTATGACGCGTAACCCTGTTGAAATGATTTTCCTTCACTAGGTATTTTGCCTTTGTGCAGCCTACCAGAATCTGATATCCCTTTGAAAGCTTTTGGCTATGTGTATTTGATCTATGTCGTTCCCCCCCCCCC